AAAAGTTATAATACATAAAAGAGAAAAAGAACAAAAGCTAAAGGCTAAAAGTGATGACCAATTCAAAAAGGGGGATGGGGATGACTTGACTGGACACAGAGACAAAATTCGTGCATATTGATGACGATTTTATAAGGTGGCATTATAATTTATATATTTACAATAACCTAATCTTGTGGGCTATGCTGATAAGAAAATGCCAATGGATCTTGCAACCAATTTGGTCAAGTCCTTGGTTAATAATTGAAGACAAAACAATGGGTTGCACATGATATGGTTCACTCACCTCTCATGCATTCCACTATGTTTTCTTCCTTTTTCTTTCTTAATTTAAGAAGGTCATAAAGGTTTCGTAGCTCAGTTGGTTGTAAAGAAGATGATCAATCACAGAAACACAAAAAGCCAAATGATAAATATCTAAGCTATTTAACAAACCCACGGTTGATGTTTGGTGATCTATATTGGGTAGAACCATGGTCTAAAATATCGATGATATCAAAATATTGATTGTCTAAAAACATGGAAATTTCGATGGAAATATCGGGATATTATCGATATCGATAAAAATTGAATAAAAATCACGGAAATTGTAAGAAAAACTTGGAAATTTTTATTGAAATTTTGGAAAATGTTTATTTAGTCAATTATCTGTTAGTTTATAAAATAAAATAAAAATTAGAAGGAAATGCATTACATGATGGATTTAACTGATTTAAGTTGATTATACAGCGAGTTGGCAAACACTGTGAGTGTAGAAAATATGTAGTAATTAATGAAAAAAAGATTAAACACACTATAATCATTTATATATAAAGATTTACTACAATATTTTACACTTTATACATTGCATGGTAAGATACATGAGTGACTTAGTACCACATAGAGTTCCTATGAGGTTCAAATTTTTCACTATTTTCATCATCTCTATGTGTAGAGTAAATGTATTGTGAAGAGTATTCATCAAATGATAAATCTCCAAAATAGTTTTGCATGTAATTGTTAACATGCCACCCATATAAATATAAATATTTTAGCATATTATCACTAAAACATAAGTGATATATGGTGGTTAAGGTGTTGCATATATGGGTTTTTTTTACTACTAAAATATTGTTTTGTGCCATTGATACACCAAGAGAGAAAAGAAGACTCATTTTCGTACCTAATCCAAATTTTCTATGGAAGAAAAGTATATGTTGATACCTTTTGGAACACTTTTCGCTGTCAGCCTAAACCATTTGCTCTTCCCTCGTCCATGCTTGAAAGCCTAAACCATTTGCTCTTCCCTCGTCCATGCTTAAAAGCCTAAACCATTTGCTCTTCCCTCGCTCTGTAATCATTTTCGTACCTAACCAACTACTCATTTGAAAGAAAATATAATTACATTATACGAAAGTTGAAGAAAGTTTATCATTAATTTGATGTAATCTTACATTTCCTGTTGAAGCCCTTAATAAAAAATAAGGGGAAAATGAAACAGAAACAACCAAGTAGATTGCCCTGCTGGGAGATCCAACCGAAAATTAAGAGCCTTGTCTTTTCATTGAGACATGAATGGACTGTTGTCTACTCAGAAGACCATTGTGCATGCCACATTTTCCACTCTCCTTCTATCATGCAAATATCTTTTCCATCCCATCCCATCCCGTCGACAGTTTTCTTTTTTCGTCAAAGTTAGGAGAAGGTAGGGCTTTTCTCACACGCACTGATGATGTGTTATTGAAGCACGATTATGAGACTATTGATTTGCAAATGAAAACCCTTTTTCACACTTAGGTTGGAGGACTCCATTAGCCATTTTGTATTTATTTTTTAATCAACGAGTAGATTCAACGCGAACTGTTCATTACTTGAATGATCATCCCGTCGAACACCTACTATCTGCTTCCTCTCCCCCAATTAATACGATCTGCAGAAGATGTGTCTTCTAGTGGAGTTAGTCCAAGTAATTGACTTTGCCTTTTTGTCGGATCATGACTTCTTTTGCAGGCACAAAGTATGTGAACTAGAAAGTGTCACACAAGTGCATGCTGTGTCATACCTCATATATGCATACATGATGATCCTAAAGCAACCATCACTTTGCTTTCCCCATTACACCACCAGTCACATTTCCACATACTAACCCACTCAATCCAATCTTTTGACCAACTTTTCCGAAAATTTGTTTGGCTTTTTCCTCTTTTCATTACATATTTCATACCTCAAGTTCTTTTTAACTGGGGAATGGAACAGTTTTCTTCTTCTTTCTTTTTCTTCAATTTAGGGTTTAGGAGGATATAAAAGGATGGAAATATCGATGTTTATGTATAAAATTTATAAAGGAGGTTAAAAACTGGGAAATGACACAAGAACACGAGATATTTTTGCTCACCACTCTAACCCACGGTGTATCCTTATCACCATTCTTAAAACTTGACATGTGTACATGGGCACAACTACGATTCCACAAATACAAAGCAAAAAGTTAACTATGATTATACTCATGAACACATGTTAAGTGTGGTGAGAGTACACCTTGGGTTAAAGTGGTGAACAAAAATATTTCCCAAGATCACGTACAATATAACATGATTTACTAAATCACGCTACGTCACTTGCTCGTTTTAAAGTTTTTTCACTATATGAACATAGCGTTACAATCACATAGAGGTTTTGAGAGCCTTTTTATAGAGTTAGAGAGCAAATGATAAAATTAGAGAGTTTGGACCTTTTTCACTTGTAGGCTTCAGTATGGCCGATGCCTGACCCTACACAAAAAAACATGGATGAAGCATTTGATACTATAATGACATAAATTTGAATGTGCTCCCTCAAAATATTGAGAAAACAGTGTCCAATTTTACTCCCAAGCGAAGTAACTATCAAGAAAACTCGATGTCTGCAGCTTGTATCATTACAACAGATTATTGCTTCTGGGTGGAGCATATCTATAGGCAAAGTATGAAAGCCATATCCTCGTTGAAACCACTGAAGTGTACCCCAAGATCTCCCTTCCCCACTTGACAATAAGCCATGCTTGAGCTCAATAACATAATGGTTAACTTTATCATAGTTTATTAAAATTATATAATTACAATGCACAACCCTTTATCGTAGTTTTTTATTATTATTATTATACAAGTGATAATCTAAGATAATTTACGAGGAGGGACTCGAGTTAGGGTGCAAGCGAATTGACTCATTATCCTGACTAACTAACCTAACTCACATTTCCATTTGGTTGATAGTGATAATGGAGTCTCATACATATGTTTGGACTTTAGTGCAAGGCTCAGCCTGAAAGTTGGCATAAGCCATAAGCTAAGGTGGCCCGGATGACATTGGGCTATCACCATTTGGGTTCCACTTACAACCCACATTTCAGCATCCCCAGATCTTGGTGAGTGGCTCATCTGGAGACCACGCAAAAATGGATGCATTGACAATTTTTGTATGAATGGCGGCCATATTTGCACAAACTTCGCCTAACTAAAATCTCTGCTATGCATGATGGGCTAAGCTAGTATCCAAAACTACTTGGGTTCCTGACTTCGAAATTCTTATCGTGCTCAGGCAGAGCATTGAGATTATATAATAAGGGATTATGTTGAAGGATTATAATGAGGGAATTTATAATTTTCGTTCGATCAATAAATTCCTCAACATTTGACCGCTAGATTGAACCCCGTAATATATTCTCATTGCATGGGTATTAAGTGAACTATAAACCCAACATTGTGTTGAAGGGCCTTGTGTAAGGGTTCATGGCAAGGAGGGCTTCATCTCCAATGGACCAATTTATGTGCGTAAATAGGATTTGGGTTAGTAAGTATTTCATTTTTTGTTGGTCTAAGATCCTATTTTTGTGTTTGTTGACATATCTAGGACCATACTATTATATAATTCCTGCAACAAGGAGATTTCGGTTGCCTATTGCATATTTAAAATAAAAGGATTAAAAATGTCTATTGTGCGCCTAAATGGAAATACAAGCTCCACGTACATGTCGGTTGACATCTAGCAATTGTTGCCTAATAAGTACTAGCCTCTCTGTACACGCTTCAATGCTTGCAAGGTTGCAATAGGCTTTTTTTTAAAAAAAATTTAAATTTATTTTATAATTAAAAAAGATAATGGGTAGTTGTGTTCTATAAAAATAGGATATATTATCTGATTTTTCTTTTAATTTTAATTTTTATTATTATGAAAAAGTGTGAATTTACCATATTATCCTCATTTAATTAATAATTTCAGTTCTTAATGTTTGCATTAACCAATGACTTTTTTGGTATTTTGAATGTTTCACTATTCTCTGCCTTTTACTCTATATATATATAGATACACATACACCTTAGAATACAATCCATACATTGCTTAGCATTGAGATAGTTTCTCTATTTTCCCCCATACTTACTAGATAGTTTGCCGAAGGGCAATTGTTATTTTTATTGCAAATTGTCATTTTGAAACACTTTCATTCTTCAAGAGAGTGGCCTGTTTTGTTTATCTATAAAAGAAATTACTACATGTTCTCATTTACCCAACTATAAATTTAACATTTGATAACATAACATGCCAAATTTAAAGGTATAAATAAATCGAGTTAAGCTAAATACCAAAATTCTCAAACTCAACTCTAATAATATTACTCAAGCTCACACTCAGCTCAAACCAAATACTAAATTTGAAGTTAGCTTCTATAACATTATATTTCAGACATGAAGTTAACGTCTAACAACGTAACATGTCGACCTTGAAATTAATGTGTAACAATATCATACTTAAAATCCCAGTAGATGATGTTTTGCAAAACACCCTAGAGGAACTGAATCTACTTATTCAGGGAAGTAGAAAACAAAAGAAGAAAAAAAGCAAATAAAAAACGAAAGGAAAAGAGAAAAAGGCCAGTTGGGCCTAAAATACAATTTGCCATTTCTCAAACTCAATCAAGGCCCCAACACCAAGAAATTATTTAAAGCTTTGATGATATGATCCATCCAAATGCCAAAATTCCAACGTTAGCTCTGCTGCTGAGAGTCTCTCTGCAACCCCAACCTTCTAATTCCGAGTTGAAACTGAGCAACTGCCGCCAAAACCTTCACGGTCTGCTCGGGGCTCAAGACCTCCACCACCTTCCTCACCGTCAACCCGCGAAGCCCGTCGGCGCTCTCGAAAACCCCCAGCATCGCCGTCTTCAGCGTCTCCATTGCCAAATCCAGCGACGAAATCTCGCCGTCCATCAGCCTACCCACCCTCCTCGCCAGCGCTAGAATCGGCGGCGCAGCCACCCTCTCCTGTATCCTTGCCATTGTCTCCGACAGCTCCCTCTCCTCCCTCCGCGTCTCGCCCTTCACCGCCTCCATCTCCCGCGCCTGCTCGGCCGTCAAGTCCTCCACCGAGCTGTCCACCATGCGCAGCACCAATGAGGGCTTGAACCCAGCAAGCCAGAGCATGGTCCGCTCGAACGAGCTCAGCCACGGCGGAGAGAACAGCACGAAAACGTCCTCCTCCGCCGTCAGGGCCTTCTCTGCGAAGTATTGTTGGTAGTGGCACAGAACCTGTTCGATCAAATGCCTCTGTTGGTGGGCCTTGTTCTCTGAGCTGGGTAAATCCACCAAACAAAGGAGCTGATCGAGGAAGGTTTGCTGACGCTCCAACCAGCCCCCAAGAAATGCGATGAACCGCTTTCTTGCTGGGTTAGCAGCAGCAGCGGCCATGTCCTTGAGGGGATAGAGAATAAGCGAAGCAGAGCCAATCAGAGTGACTTGAAAAGAAGAAGGGAATGGTATGGCTTCTGTTTATAAACTTTATATAGTTGATTTTCTTGGGAAGAGGAAATGAATAATTATATAAAATTCATTTTGGGCTTATGGGTTTTGGACTTACTGTGTTGAAAAGGTATAAAATGGAGGTTTTCATCATATTTGATAGGGATAATTTTTTTATAAAGATAATTTTTGAATGAATATCTACCAGAGATCTCTCAACGGAACGGAAGCTGTGTGTATATATATATTGTAGTGCGGTGGTGTGGCACAGTGGAAAACAGAGGTGGAGGGGAAGAGAGGGGTCAGGCAGTCAGAGAGGCGTATTTGGCAACATGGGAGACATTCAAGTGCTCTAAATTTGCTTGGTTTTGTTTGGAAGATTTTTCTGGTTTTGTATTCGTGTGGGCCCCCGCAACCGACATTGTCATAGAGATATGGTTTTTGGTGGCGTTGAAGGAATCAAGGAGGATGGTCTGCAGCCAACTTATTTCGGCTGTTGCTGTAATCTTCTTTGTTTCCTTTTTTGGCAAGGAATCAAGCACGTTCTGTGAAACCTCAATGACGGAATATATACGACACTCACTGTCTAAAATGGAATATACCTTTTAGATTACTAAAACAACTTTCGACTTTGAATGATTTTTTTTCACGAATAACCTTTGAAGGATGACTTGAAATATAGACAATCCGGAATTTTGTTAAAGTGACACTGAAGATATAAGAACAAGAGACAAGTGAGCCTTTGAGCACATTGATGTGGTGTGAGCGAGCTAAAGAACCCTTGATGCACTAAGATTGATAAGAAACTAGAGAAGAGTTATTGGTGTGAGTGGTTGGTTTCCCACCGTTGTTGGCCGCATGTTGTGTGCCTATTGAGCCAGTCAAGACATGTTATCCCACCCACCATATGGTGTAATGATGCACGAAATAAATTAACTACCTGCCCTAAATTAGGTTATGAACCTATGAATTTAACTTCGAAAAACCAAGTCCTTAATTGAATTTGGGAAAGAAAAAAAACCTTAATTTGAAACAATGCCCCAATTTAAAGTGAACCTTGAATAAACCCTAAATTAGGCTAAGATTCTATGATTTTTACTCACTAAAAACAAATCCCTAAATTATGCCGGGAAACCTATGAAACTATGTTAGAAAAATCAAATTCTTAATTTAAAAGGAAGCCATAATTCATTTAATGCACTTTTTTGGGGACTAAATTACACATATTCTAATTTTCGAATTTCATTTTCATTAATGTCTTTAAATAGAAAAATAAATGGTAATGAAAATGACTTAAAGCTGATAAAAAAAAAAAAAAAAAAAAAAAAAAAAAAAAAAAAAAAAAAAAAAAAAGCTTTTCATTTCTAATGACTAATGGTTCACGAACCAAATACGAAAATGAGAGACCTTACCAAAATAATAATAATAATAATAATAATTAAGAGGAATTGACATTTCCTAGTCCTCATTTTGTAGTCTAAACACGATAGTGAACATCTTCTATATCCGATTTCATTCCTAAAAAGTTAATTCCAAACACGGGAATAAACATTTCCCATTTTCAATTTCATTGATAAGAAGTTCACCCCGCAAAACCAAACCAAACTAACCTAAATGCAAAGGTTGTGGGCTCCCACTGTACTCCCTCATCCCAGTGGCGCCGTTTAATTAATCAAACCCTTTTTTATTACAAAAGAAAAACAAACCTTTTTCTTAATTTTATTTTGACTGAACTGAACTCTCAAGCTGAAGGCTGAAGCAGCCTCGCCTCCTCTTCCAAAACATCCCTGGACTTTACTCTGGGGTCTCTGAGCCCTATTCTCCTTCGCGCCACCTTCTCCCAAATCTTCCGAAATCTTTCTCTCTCTCTCGCAAACCCTGATCTTCCTTATTCTTCGATTTACTGCAACTTCATCTCCAAGGTAAGCATTTTTTTTTCGTGTTTATTGTCTTCTTCCAATTTGAACTCAATATTGTTAATCAATGCGTTTGATAGTTTCTTTTTTCTTTTCAGTTCCTTAAAGGTCGAGGAGATGGCTGGTGTTCGGGAAATAACGGCTGCTGAGTTCTTACAGGTTCGTAATCTTCATTATCCTTGTTTGGTTCCTATAAAATTGTAACATCATATGAAAACTCTTCATTGAAAGTGACTTTTTTTGAAAATTTTCTTTTTGTTTAAAAAATATTCATTTCAGGGTACCAATAGGCAAAGCCTGTTCTTGCATAGAAACTCTGTGAAACAAAGAAGTCATGTCCTTTGGGGCAAGCTTCAGGGTCGCAGTTCAGCACTGGGTTTTGGTAAAAAGAATGTTTTATTGAGTTGTCGTGGTAGACAAAAGCCCAGAGCTGTTATTTCTGGTGGTGTAAGCGTGTCGAAAGATGAGCAATCAAGCTTGATTGAGAGACCTGCTTCGGAAGTTATTCATTTTTATCGTGTCCCACTAATTCAGGAGAGTGCAAAATCCGAGCTTCTCAAGACAGTTCAGACGAAAATTTCGAATCAGATAGTTGGTTTGAAAACTGAGCAGTGTTTCAACATTGGGCTTGATTTGCAGCTTTCTAGTGAAAAGCTTTCGGTTCTTAAGTGGCTTCTTCAGGAGACTTATGAGCCTGAGAATTTGGGGGCCGAGAGCTTTCTTGAAAAGAAAAAGCAGGAAGGGTTAAATACAGTGATCGTTGAGGTTGGGCCTCGGTTGTCGTTTACGACAGCTTGGTCTTCTAATGCTGTGTCAATTTGTAAAGCATGTGGGTTGTCAGAGGTGACTCGTTTGGAACGGTCGAGGCGGTACTTGTTGTTTAGCAAAGGTACATTGCCTGATCATCAAGTTAATGAGTTTGCTGCAATGGTGCATGATCGGATGACTGAGTGTGTTTATACCCAGAAGCTCACTTCCTTTGAAATGAGTGTGGTTCCGGAAGAAGTTCGTTGTATACCTGTAATGGAGAGAGGTAGAAAGGCATTGGAGGAGATTAATCAGGAAATGGGTTTGGCGTTTGATGAGCAAGATCTCCAATACTACACTAGGCTGTTCAGGGAGGATATCAAGCGCAATCCGACAACAGTTGAACTGTTTGATATTGCACAATCCAATAGTGAGCATAGCAGGCATTGGTTTTTTACTGGTAAAATTATTATAGATGGACAGCCAATGGATAGAACTCTAATGCAAATTGTGAAGAGCACTCTGCAAGCAAATCCAAACAATTCTGTGATTGGGTTCAAGGATAACTCAAGTGCAATAAAGGGCTTTCTTGTGAAGCAAATGAGACCAGTTCAGCCAGGTTCAACAAGTCCTTTGAACATAGCTAATCGTGAGCTTGATATTTTATTTACTGCCGAGACCCATAATTTCCCATGTGCTGTAGCACCTTACCCTGGTGCAGAGACAGGTGCTGGAGGTCGAATCAGGGACACCCATGCAACTGGAAGGGGTTCTTATGTTGTAGCAGCTACAGCTGGTTATTGTGTTGGGAATCTCAATATGGAGGGATCTTATGCCCCTTGGGAAGATTCATCTTTTGCATATCCATCGAATTTGGCTTCACCTCTACAGATCCTAATAGATGCTAGCAATGGTGCATCAGACTATGGTAACAAATTTGGTGAGCCCTTGATTCAGGGCTACACTAGAACTTTTGGAATGAGACTCCCGAGTGGGGACAGACGAGAATGGTTGAAGCCAATCATGTTTAGTGGAGGCATTGGTCAGATTGATCACACCCATATATCAAAAGGAGAGCCTGACATTGGCATGTTGGTAGTAAAGATTGGAGGCCCTGCTTATCGTATTGGAATGGGTGGTGGGGCTGCATCAAGCATGGTTAGTGGTCAAAATGATGCTGAGCTTGATTTTAATGCTGTACAGCGTGGAGATGCGGAGATGGCTCAAAAATTGTATCGTGTGGTTCGTTCCTGCATAGAGATGGGGGAGAATAATCCAATCATTAGCATTCATGATCAGGGAGCTGGTGGAAACTGCAATGTTGTTAAGGAAATCATTTATCCAAAGGGTGGTCAGATTGATATCCGGGCAATTGTAGTTGGTGATCACACAATGTCTGTTTTGGAGATATGGGGTGCAGAATATCAGGAGCAAGATGCAATCTTGGTGAAGCCTGAAAGCCGCGATCTTTTGCAATCAATATGTGAAAGAGAGAGGGTTTCGATGGCTGTTATTGGAAGTATAAATGGCGAGGGGCGTATTGTTTTAATTGATAGCTTCGCTATTCAAAGATGCCATTCAAGTGGACTCCCTCCCCCTCCTCTTGCCGTTGATTTGGAGCTTGAGAAAGTACTTGGTGATATGCCACAAAAAACCTTTGAATTCCACCGGATGACTGATTCAAGAGAGTCACTTGATATTGCTCCCGGAATCACAGTGATGGATTTGCTTAGTAGGGTATTGAGACTTCCATCTGTCTGTTCAAAGCGCTTCTTGACATCAAAAGTAGACAGGTGTGTTACAGGTCTTGTAGCGCAGCAGCAAACTGTTGGGCCCCTGCAAATTCCTCTCTCTGATGTTGCAGTAATCTCTCAGACTTTTACTGACTTGACTGGAGGTGCATGTGCTATTGGAGAGCAGCCAATCAAAGGTTTGCTGGATCCAAAAGCAATGGCGAGATTGTCTGTTGGAGAAGCACTCACAAATCTTGTTTGGGCAAAGGTCACTTCTCTATCTGATGTTAAAGCAAGTGGGAATTGGATGTATGCAGCCAAGCTTGATGGAGAAGGTGCAGCCATGTATGATGCTGCTACAGCTCTTTCAGACGCTATGATCAAACTTGGTATTGCTATTGATGGGGGAAAGGATAGTCTTTCAATGGCAGCCCATGTTGCAGGTGAGGTTGTTAAGGCTCCTGGAAATCTTGTAATCAGTGTTTATTGCACTTGTCCTGACATAACAAAAACAGTAACCCCTGATTTGAAGCTTGGAGATGATGGTGTGTTGCTTCACATTGATTTGGCAAAGGGAAAGCGGCGATTAGGGGGGTCTGCTCTTGCTCAAGCTTTTGACCAAATTGGAAATGACTGTCCTGACCTTGAGGATGTTCCTTATCTTAAGAGGGTTTTTGAGGGAGTTCAGGTCCTTCTAGATGATGAACTGATCTCTGCTGGCCATGATATCAGTGATGGTGGGCTACTGGTCTGTGCCCTTGAAATGGCATTTTCTGGGAACCATGGCATTATCTTTGACTTAACTTCACATGGGAAGGGCCTCTTCCAAACACTTTTTGCTGAAGAACTTGGTCTGATTATCGAGGTCAGCAAGAGAAACTTGGATCTTGTTATGGAAAAGTTAAAGAGTGATGGTATTTCTGCTGAGATCATTGGAAAAGTAACTGCCGCACCCTCAATAGAGTTAAAAGTTGATGGAGTAACTCATTTGAATGAGAGTACTTCTTTCCTAAGGGACCTGTGGGAGGAAACTAGTTTTCAGCTGGAAAAGTTTCAAAGATTGGCTTCTTGTGTGGATTCAGAGAAAGAAGGGTTGAAAGATAGGCATGAGCCTTCATGGGGATTGTCTTTCACTCCTTCTTTCACAGATGAAAAGTACATGACCATAGCTTGCAAACCAAAAGTGGCTGTAATTCGAGAAGAAGGCAGCAATGGGGACAGAGAAATGGCTGCGGCATTTTATGCATCTGGTTTTGAACCGTGGGATGTCACAATGTCAGACCTTCTTAATGGAGTCATATCACTTGATGAATTCCGTGGAATTGTGTTTGTTGGAGGTTTTAGCTATGCTGATGTGCTTGATTCTGCAAAAGGTTGGTCTGCATCAATTCGATATAATCAGCCCCTTCTAAATCAATTTCAGGAGTTCTACAAGCGCCCAGACACTTTCAGTCTTGGTGTTTGCAATGGATGCCAGCTTATGGCTCTTTTGGGGTGGGTTCCGGGTCCTCAGATTGGAGGTGTGCTTGGTGGTGGTGGGGACCCTTCACAACCGAGGTTCATTCACAATGAGTCGGGACGATTTGAATGCCGATTCACCAGTGTGACAATAAAGGACTCACCGGCTATAATGTTCAGAGGAATGGAGGGCAGTACATTGGGTGTGTGGGCTGCCCATGGTGAGGGAAGAGCATATTTCCCTGATGATGGTGTTCTTGATCGTATGCTTCATTCAAAGTTGGCACCAGTAAGATATTGTGACGATGATGGTAATGAGACAGAACTTTACCCTTTTAACCTCAATGGCTCTCCTTTGGGAGTTGCAGCTATTTGTTCCCCTGATGGAAGGCATCTTGCCATGATGCCTCATCCAGAGCGTTGCTTCTTAATGTGGCAATTTCCTTGGTATCCCAAGCAGTGGAATGTGGACAAGAAAGGCCCTAGTCCATGGTTGCGGATGTTCCAGAATGCCAGGGAGTGGTGTTCTTGATAATTTTTCAGTGTCCTTTCTCTCAAGAAAATGGTTAGTGGTTCAGTGTTCTTCATGAGAGTTCTGCTTTATTGTATTCGGAAACCGTATGTATTGTGTTACTTGTAGACTATGCTCTGTGAAACAGGCATTTGAATTTTCCTGTCTGTCTGATGATTTTGTTTTGAAGTGAACCTTCCTTTTTTGGCCAATGATTTTGATTTAGTTAAAATACCAAATAAAGATGAAAAGTTTTGATTCGACTGATCTCTCTCACTTACCGAAATCTTGATATTATTTTAAATTGCTATATATTTTATGTGAATTATTTTATTTTCCTTATTCCCTAGTCTGGTGTATCTCATCCACATGAAGTGCATTGACTTGGCTTCCTGATGGTTTAAGGGAGAAGTTTATTGAAAAAGAATAACAAAGAACTGGGTTTCAGGGAATGTGTGAATGCATTCTGTTTCAACATCATGCCCTTAGGTTGTATAGTGATGAAATTATGGCCCAAGCGTATTGGCTTGCCTTCCTGATGGTTTAAGGGAGAAGTTAATTGAAAAAGAAAAACAAAGAACTGTCTTTCAGGGATTGCATGAATTCATTCTTTTTCAACATCATGCCCTTAAGTTGTAGTGATGAAATTATGGCCCAACAAGCTAGAGAACAGAGTGAAAATATAGAGACTAGTTTCTTGAAGCTAGTTTGCAAGAGAAAAAATCAGACCCTAGTGGTCTGGGAATTATTCTAAATTTTTCTGTTCATGGAAAAGCTTTGTACGAAACTGTTTTAAGTGTTTTACATGCATTTAGTCCTGTTATTTGGTTATTATTTTAGTTGTTTGAACTTTAGAAATATATATATATATTATCAAAGTATCTGTGGTGGCAGATGCATTTGGAGGGGAATGTGAAAATGGATATAAGAATTGTTTTTACAAGTGCAACTTTACCAAAATTTCATTAAAAGTCCTTTATACTTTCTTGGTAATTATATAAAATCCCATTTACCTAACATTATACACCATTTAAGTCATGTCCTAGGCGTCAGTGCATAACAATATGAATGGGATGAATGCTTGGTGTTTTAGCACACACGTTCAGGTTATGCAGTTTTCAATGGAATTTTTCCTGGGAGGTTTTATAGAAGTTGGTCATTATGTTTATCTGTGGTTTCATTTCTAGCATCTTCAATGAAACACATTCTTTTTCTTTTTATTCAGCAATCTTTCCAGTAAAAATTTGTGAGGAAACAAATTGTGCAATACATCTGCTTATAGGGATTTTCTTTATGTTAATTGTGTTGTGCTTGTGATCATTTTAAAAATTAGAAATGATGTATCAGTATCACTGTGTTCTTGTAAATGTTGAATTGTTGTGACTTGCAAACTGAAATGTACGGGAAAATCTCGATCAAGCATGGTATTCTATGTTAATCTTTTGTTAGATTACATTGCCAGAAGGAAGAAATGCTTGATTACAATTTGGAACTTGGAAGTAGGTATTTTATCCACCCAACTCAATTATGTAGCAAAAATACAGCACTTGTACTGTATTTTCTTGTGCTGAAGAATATTATACCAGCATCTTTTTTCTGGATACTGTGAATATCTGAACAGTTTGTGAAAATATATTAAGCGTCATGATCAGATAATTCACATTTATGCTTAGCACTTGAGTTTGAATCACCTTCTCTGTCAATTTTTAAGCCATAAGGATCTAAGTGAAAATAGAACCGAACTATAGCGGTAAAATTATAATCGAACTTTTACCATTGTGTAAATCTTTCCCATCCCATCCAATATAAATTTGAGATCAAACAGATGTGAAAATTTGTTGTGTGGCTTTGCAAGAAGAAGAAGAGTTCAAAATTCCTACCTCTCACTTTCCAGTATTATGAGCAAATTGTCAATGCTGTCAACATCAGGTACTCACAAAGGTCTATTGAGATGTGTATTTAAATAGCGCATCATTGAATTAAAATAGGTGGCCTGGTCCTAGGATTTTTGTGCCTACCCAGTTAACCCCACCCCCACACACACACACTCTCTCTGTGTGCAATAATAGAACTCCTATGATTTTTATATCAGACAAAGTATCCGACAAGGCATACCTGTCCAATAAGTATAAACGCACCTTTTAAAAAAAAAATTATTTTAAATATTGTTAAATATCCTTTAACACCCCACCCCACAGCCAGCCCTCTATTGAAAGACAGGTATATTATTAGTACCATGTGTATCCAGTTTCTTCATAAACACATATCTTAAAGTTGAGACAAAAGACAGGTATATGACTCTTTCATTTGTTCTTATTTGTTTCAATTATGGAACTTATTTATTCTTAATTAAGATATGTCATTTTTATAATACAAGCTATATTGAAAAAGAATTCGAATTTGAAACCTCGTGTCGTTTTGTGGTTTATTTCACAGAAATGCTTGCATGATATCTTTAATTGTTTATATGATTAGCATTTAGCCTTTCGGTGCAAACTTCAGGTTGTCAGTTCAGTCGAGCTTCAAACAAAGACGGCCCTCCAAAATGGAAATATCCAAACCGACAATTTGCCCTCCACTTCCATCCAATCATAATTTGCCATCAGGTTCCCGGCTTGCATCCACATCCATGGCATTTTCATAAATTCAACAAAAAAGCAAGGGCATTTCCGTCTCTCCACTTCTCTTCCCTCTCGCCCCACACTCCACTTTCCCAACTGACTTCACACCTGACGTTCCCGCGGCCAAAGAAAACCGCCACCTTCTCTCTCCTTTTCACCACAATCATTTCTAGAGAGAGAAACTCCGATTACAGTTCTAGAGAGAGAAAGTTCCAGAGCTCTACATAGATAAATAGAGAGAGAGAGAGAGAGAGAGAGAGAGGGGGGGCCGGCATGCCAGCACCAGAAGCAGACCGGCACCGAGCCAGGACCCGACCCGCGGTCCGAACCCGAGTCCCGCTCCGGCAGCTCCTCCGGGTCGCGTCGGTTGCATGCGGAATTCAATTCGGGTGGGCTCTCCAGCTCTCGCTCCTGACCCCCTACGTTCAAGAGCTCGGAATCCCTCACGCTTGGGCCAGCGTCATATGGTTGTGTGGGCCCTTATCGGGCCTCGTGGTCCAGCCCCTGGTGGGCCACATGAGCGACCGGTCCAACAGCCGCTTCGGTCGCCGGCGGCCCTTCATCGTCGTCGGAGCTGCCTGCATCGCCGTCGCCGTTCTCATCATCGGATACTCCGCCGATATCGGGTACTTGCTCGGCGACCGAGGCGGCGGAGTCAGGCCCAGAGCCATCGGCGTCTTCGTGTTCGGGTTTTGGATTCTGGACGTGGCCAATAATGTGACTCAGGGTCCTTGCAGAGCTCTCCTCGCTGATCTCACTGGTACGATCCTTCAATTTGAGTCTTTTTCTCTTTTTCTTTCTCGTTCTTGTAATTTTAGGAACTTCAATTTTGATATTTATCGTTCTTGTTTAGTCAACTTATAGTAAATTTGAGAAAGAATTTTAAAGAAATTTGTGGCTGTTATATTTTGCATGATTGTTAATTACAAATTAATATTTTGTGAAAAATGCCGTTGAAAACTCATAAATTATATCCTGTGGTGAAAAATGAGAAGCAATCATGTATCTCATTCAGATCCAGTAGTGATATTAAATGGTTCTCCATTATTCATTTGAGTAATTGTGTTTTTGATTGGACCTGTTCTTAAAAGTTAATATGAATACATTAACCTCTGTGTGCTATAGCAAGCCTGAGATTTTGATCTGGCTGTGCAAATTAGAACTCAAGATCCACTAATGCTTATGGATTTTTTAGGTTGTTTTATGTCCATAGGGTAGCTATAAGCCTTAGGGTGTAGTATTTAGTATGCATATAATAATGGTCACAATTGTATTTTTATTCGCCTATGCGCTAGATGAACAGACCTCCACGACAACTATTAAGTAGAGACTATGTCTGCAAAGGCTAGAATTTTGATTGCTAGCCAAGGTCATAATTCCCGAAAGACTATGAAGGCAGGAGTCTGTAATTAATGAATTCCAAATTGCTGCAAAGAAACCATGTCCTGATTACCTTTGCTTGTACCCCTGAAAGTAGACCACCATTATTTGATTTCACAGAATGGATAATGCCTACATGAATAGAGATTTATTGTAAATTGCTATCTAACATTCTCTATGTGATATTCACAATGAAAGGAACAACTAGAGATTATTGATGCATGGATCATGCTTGATTCTTTTGAGGAGCATTAATTAGCAACCTGCAAGCTTAATGTGCTGAAAGATCGGACTTTCAAAATTAACAACCAGTAACACTTATCTTTTTCATATTTTCTCTTTTGTTAGCAAAGGATTATCGAAGAACTCGAGTGGCAAATGCTTATTTCTCTCTGTTTATGGCGGTTGGTAATGTTCTTGGCTATGCAACTGGATCATTCAGTTACTTGTACAAGGTTTTTCCATTTTCAATTACTCCTGCATGCAATATTAACTGTGCAAATCTCAAGTCTGCTTTCTTGGTCGACATTGCCTTCATTGTAATTACTACGTGTGTAAGCATATCAGCAGCTCAGGAATTACCTCTGAGTTCAAGCAACAGTACTACACCCTTTTCTGAGGAAGGGCCAGGACAGTCGAGCCATGCTGAAGAAGCTTTTCTCTGGGAGCTTTTTGGGACTTTTAGATATTTCTCAGGGTCTATATGGATAATCCTACTTGTTATTGCTCTAAACTGGATCGGGTGGTTTCCATTTCTTCTCTTTGATACCGATTGGATGGGTCGAGAGATTTATGGTGGCAAGCCAAATGAAGGGTTAAATTATAATACAGGTGTTAGAATGGGTGCTCTTGGTCTGATGTTGAACTCGGTTGTTCTTGGTATAACTTCGGTGCTTATGGAGAAGCTTTGCAGGAAATGGGGGGCTGGTTTCGTGTGGGGGATTTCAAACTTTCTCATGACTCTTTGCTTTCTTACAATGCTTGTTATTACATATGTGAACAAGGGTATTGGCATTGTGGGCCGTGATTCGCCTCCAGATGGCATTGTGATAGCCGCACTGGTTGTTTTTGCAATTCTTGGTGTTCCATTGGCGGTAAGCTTACTTAGCTCATTGAATGCAATGCATGCCTATTTGGCAATGTTTGATTAGCTGTTAGAAGGCATACACGGTTAAAGTTTTACAGGGGAGGAATGAGAATGATACGGGAGGAACATGGGAAGTAGACCTTTTAAGAGGGGTGGATCCTTTTTCTTTGCTACAATAAAATAACTTGTGGGAAAAACAGTTGGAAGTATATTTAATCCATGTTTACAAACTTTAGTGAGCAGACTAATGGTGAGAAAAAGAATAATGTTTATTTTATGATTGTTAGTTGAGAGTAAAAAAATATCAAGGATTTAAATAAGAACAAATAAGGCTTGATCTTCATTCATTTGACCTATCGAGCAAGAAATTTTTGTTTAAGAAAAGGTCCCCTTGGTGTTCAATGACAAGGCAGTGAAAAGGACATTCTCTAAGCATTGTTTTTGTTTTTGTTTTTGAACTTTTTGGGAGCATTGGAAGTATATAATGCTTAGAGAATGTCCTTTTCACTGCACAATGATTATGGTACTGACTATGCTTTGTGTGTGGACTCAGTTTATGAATCCAATTTACATTGCCTGAATATTTTTTGCAGATCACATACAGCGTTCCGTATGCCTTGATTTCTTCTCGTATCGAGTCTTTGGGACTTGGCCAAGGTGGGCATATCTGCAACAGAAGTTGGTGTGGTTACAAAATTTTCATTGGATTTTTAGTTGGACTTCTTAAATTGATGCTTGGTTCTTGCAGGGTTATCAATGGGTGTACTGAATCTGGCAATAGTAATCCCACAGGTAGGGACACTCTTTTTTCCTTTCAGCAATGCATGCACATGCTTCTGTGCGGGTACTATATGAACATGAAATAACGTAATGGTATGAGGTTATTTTACACTTCTACAGTCGTCAACCCAAAATTAAGAGATACATGCACATATGTTGACAACTGAGTCTTGTCCCAACTATTTGGGGTCCGCTATATGAATCCTAATCCCCGTCCCGTCCTGTCTTGTCATTGGCTGCACTTTCATTTAAGTCATATGTTATGATATCTTTCCTAAGCATTGGTACCTACCTATGTTATAGTTGCTCTTTCTCTCCCTGTAGCACTACCTTCTATGTGTGTGTGTGTGTGTATATATACACTTATATATGTGCGTAAATGCATATAGTTGCTCTTCATTTCCAGACTCTGAATAAGGATTGCATGTCAAAAAAGTTTGCGCCTGATAAATAGTTCAGATTGAAAATCTGCATATTTCCATACTGTCTGGCAACAAAACATTCCAAATGTGTGCGTTGGTTTGAGCCTAGGTATTGTTGAAATTTTGTATCAGCATTACATTGAAGTTCTGTTGGATCTTTTTTGTTTAAGAATTGAATATTCACACTCAAGCCTTTTTAACTCTGAAAAAAAAGCAACACCATTTCATGAACATGTCCACGGAATATCACTTTGAAACTCTGCACCCTTACATTGTACTATTGTGTGAAACAATGTTGGAATTGTTGTCTACTATGTGATGTAGTACAGCCTGTAGGTATTAGATTAAGCATTTAAACAATAGAACAAAGAAGAATATAAGAGATCGAGCGATAGATGTCCCCAGAGAAGATGATGGAAGGCCCAGGTGGCCTGGGAACTTGGGATCCATAGATGGATGGGGAAGGAGACCAGCCTGTGGGGAAGGAGACCAGCCTGTAGGGAAGGTGTGAACGAACTGGATAAAACAGCGGATGTGGAGGATGGCTCAGGAGTCGAGGTTGTGATGTGGTTGACAAGCAGCATCACTGAAGCTTGTAACTTGGCAATGTCTGGACATGGACGAAAATTCAGTCTTTTGATCAGCCATCAATTTGATGACCTGATTTTCCAATTTGGTGACATCTGCAGAAATTTTTTCCTTGAATTCCTTATGTTGTTCAGCCAAATTGGCAACGGTGATGTTGGGAGCCATGATGACAAGTAGAGGCAATGAAACAGAGTAACAGCGGCGGAGCAAGAGGCTCTGAATACCAATTGATGCAGTACAGCCCGTAGGTATTAGATTAAGCACTTAAACAATAGAACAGAGAAGAATATAAGAGATTGAGGAGAAGAAAATATACATTGAAAAGAAGAAAGAAACGGCAGAACAGTAGAACAAGAAGAATATCAGAGATCGAGGAGAAGAAAATATAGATCGAAGGGACGAAAGAAAGGGCAGAAATCAGAGAGTTCTAGAAAATGTTTACTCAACATTGAAATCTGAATTTTAAAGAACTACGTAGGGGTATTTATAGCAAACCAAAACCTAGAAATAATAGGATAAAAATCCATTGCTTAAACATAAATCCTAACCCAAATAAAATAGGAAACTTAAAACTAGAAATATGGAAATCTGGAAAAGTAGAAATCCTACTAGAAATTGGAGAACTAGAGAATCTAGGAAACTAACAAATACATTAGGAAACTAATAAATTTAGGTCCTACGCGTCCTGCGTCGCTATGACATTTTGGGAGCAAATCTTTCTGAACTGACACCACCCACGAAACGAAACCCCTCATACTGCTGCAAGGATGTGATGGTTCTGGTATAGGTTAGTGCCTTATGCACGCAGTGAAGCCTGAACTGAAGAGCATGCGTTGAAAAGAATCTGATTTGTGCATTCCTTTTTCTTTGTTTTTTATAAGACTTTCCCTTATTAGATCAATTACTCAATTGTTTAGTTTTTTTTATTAAGTCAATACCACTGGATTGAACTCCCTTGCAGTTCTTTGTGAATAACAAGTCATTTGGCAATATGGTTCTTATAAAATTACATCTATTATCTTTTGTAAAACCAACTTTGGTCATGGATATTTGGTTTTTGTGAACAGGTGGTGGTATCCCTGGGAAGTGGACCATGGGATCAGCTATTTGGTGGTGGAAACTCTCCAGCCTTTGTCGTGGCAGCAGTTGCAGCCTTAGCCGCAGGGCTGCTGGCCATCTTGGCTATTCCGCGGTCTGCTCCTCAGAAGCCCAGAGCTTTCACATGAGGTATTTTGTTGTATCTACTATCTGCTAAACTTTTCTGTCTAAAAGATGGTAAAATCTCAATAAGTAATAAAAAATTGTAAATAGATGTTTTGTTGCTATTGATTAATATAGTCAATTAGTTGAGTTTTCTTTTGTCCTGGAAATTTGTTGCTTTCCGTTTTTCCCTTTAGATATTCAAATAATTGAATGTCCTGGCAGCGATTATATAGATGTTGAGCTCAACTTCCACTTGAAGTGCTTCCATTCAGCAAATTGTACATCAGAGCTTCTACAATATATATAATTCCTATTTGAAATTGAGGACCGTCTCCTGCTGAGCACTTGATGAAATCCCTATGTCAGAATCATAATTTTGTTTAGACGTTGGGAGTCCATTTGCAATGGGTGATGTTAGACCTCTCGTTTTTAGAAGTGTGATGGGAAACAAGTTAGTCATAAAGCGATAATCTTTCGCAGACACTGGCAAGTACATTGATTTAATATCTGTCACTAGTGCCTGATGAGACAAGTTATCTACAATTAGTGGAGAATTTCTTCAATGAAAATCAGTCCCATCTGCTGGATTGTGGCAAATTGCCATGGAAAAGTAGGTGACGCCTCAGCTGTAGATTCCGAAATTGCTCCTAGACTAGTTCCCTACCAACCAAAGATATGTTTCCGCTGTTTGAGAATTATTCCTCATGAAAATATCGTAATTCTCTTTCTAGGCAAAGTTGATTGTGCGATGGTGGTTTGATTATGAGGTATTGGAATCTCATGCGTTTTTATGCATGAATTTGTTGTATGAATATGGCGAAATGTTCTTGGTGGCCAACAGTGAATATGTGAATTGTACTGATTGAAACCTTGATAGAGACATGTCTTTTATTCGCTGATTTTTTAATTTTTTGTTGGAAAGATTGGGTCATTCCTTTGATGGGTTTATGTTTTTTCTGTTCTGTTTTTTTTTGTTATTTATTTTTATAATTTAAGTTTCTTTTCTACTTTGTATCCGAACCTTGGAATAAATTCTTGCCTTCATTGCTTTTATCAGTATCTATGGAACTTGTTTGCTTTGAGTGTTCCCATGCAATGTTTTCTAATCGGGCCTCTGAGAGGTGTTTGAAAAAAAGAATAAAAATATCCGTCTCTTGGGTACAGGAATTTTTTTTGAAATCTAGCCAACTTTTGGACATGTTAAATTTAGCCAATTTTTTTTTCTGTCTTTTAGAATTACAACCATTCAAAGGAGGTTCGGGCGGTGTCTCGAGGGGGCACAAGCATTGCTCGATGTGAGTTGAGTGGCTATATTTCTAAATCTTCAACAGCGAATTGTCTGTATTTTAGCTATATTACAGCAAATGGAGGCATGGGTGGAAAAAGGGAGAGAATTATGTTCCCATACTAGCATATTGGTAAGATCATTGAACTAGGTTGAGGAATGTCTGCAGAATCTAGTTGGAAAGCATAGTGGGTTTTTGCTCATAAAATACTAAGCACACACATAAACATATGGCACAACTTTCACTATAGATGATGTTACTTGCATTTCTGTTATAGATGAGATTTAAGCATATCAGACTTTTCCAGGAACGGAAAGGGAGAAGCTTTTGATGAGAGGGATAGAATCAGTGAATTTGTTCGATTTTTAGAGGAATATAATCTTTATTAATGTCAAATCCCAACAGGTCCTGTCATTACAAAAATCCTCTTCCCAAACTTGCATTGGTATTTGTATATAAAAATTCTGGGTCTTGCTTGCTTGCTGTAACCCCACTAGAAGCACAAGTTGGTGCAAACTGTGTTTGATTGATGACGGTACAAACTTGTCACTACCATTTCTTATTGCTGCAAAACTGGTGGAATTTGCATTTTTGGGAGACCCACTTCCCATTTAAGATGCTAAAATTCGAAATGGGATTTTTTTTTGCATTTGGATAAAGATGGTTGCAATAGCCATTTGTCTATAAATAACCATTAGTGCATAAATAATGCAAACCAAAAAAGAAAATGACCCGTGAGTCATTTTAAATGTGTGACAGAAGAATATGACAAAAACCATAATAATAAAAAATACAAGTTTTATGTATGATTGGTTCTGTAAATGAAGCTCTATGGATTTTTTGGATTTTGGATTTTGATTTTTTTTTTTTTTTTTTTTTTTTTTTTTTTTTTTTTGTCCATTTTGTTTTGTTGCCTGGGTTACACATGGAATCTGACATGGGCGGGTTATGGGTTTCAGGGAAGTAATAAAATCTCAATATGCATGGAAACAAATGAAATCCGATGCCTCTCTCTCTCTCAAATGGAGGGAGGGAGGGAAAAGGTTGAACTTGCTCTCTGATTCACTGCTTGTTTGGGCTGGTGGTATCTGGCAGAGGGCAGAGAGCAGAGAGCAGCAAACAGAAGCAGAAACAGAAACAGAAAGAGCAGAAAAGAAAGAGCCAAAGCTCTCTCTGTTGTGAGTCTGTTGTGAGAAAAGGATACAAATTAAATGGTTGTAAGTGGAGCACGTAATTGTCTCTCAGTGTTCCCTTTCTCCCATCTGCCTCTTCTCCACACAGCCATCTCCTACTGTTTGTGTCATCATCCCATTCAAATCCCTTCTCAGTGGTCCCATTCCATGACGAAACACCTACCCATCAAACACATAAACAATTCAATGAAACCCTGTTCTTTTTTTAAATAATCAACATGCTAAAAAGGTGCATTAGATTTGCCACATTTTCCTCACTTGTACAGAACCCTACCCATTAACCAAAACCCACAAACCACTTGTTTAGTTAATTAGGTTAAAGCCCCCATGTACTAGCTATCTAGGCAAAAAAATTATTTGGTGCTCTCAATCTTATTGGTGGGAGATACCTTTGGCCCTTTTCAAATCTCTCTATTTCTTCTTGTTACGTCCTAAACCAGCAACCTCATCTTTCTAGATGGCTTGGGTTTTGAGTGCACGAAAAAAGTTTGATCAACATCTCTGCATCCAGATATCCCTTGGTAATTTATGACCTAAAAAGAACCACACATTAGAAAATGACTGGTTTCTGTTATCTTTCAATTATTATTTTTTATTTTATTTTTTATACAAGTGATAATATACTTTAAACTAATTTAACTACGGAAAGGGGGATTCGAACTCGGTGGCAGAGTGGAGAGCACAACCGATCTAACCAACTTGACTATGCCAATGTCAGTTTTTTCTTTCTTTCTTTTTAATTTTATTACTAAAGTGATTTTTATATGCGATTAGGATCTTAACAAATCTCTAAACGGATCATAGTTTCAAAGCCACTTTCAAGAGATACAAAACTCCACCACTAGTTATATTATAATAGCAATATCAATTTAGATTTACCTAAAAATCCATGCCTCACTTTCATTCCTCCTTTATAGCTAGCACAAGTAGGAGAGGCCTAGAAAGAACACTAAAAAGAGGATTTGCATGAGTTTTGGTACCTCTCAAATGGAATTAACTAGTCACTAGCTAGTGATGTCTTTGGTGTTGTTCATGAAGTGGGTTGAAGAAGACAGCAAAGAGTAGTGGTCAGAGTGGGTTTTGGTTACATGGGTTTTGCACTTTGCACCAAGTTGGAAAATGCATGGCCAAAAAGCTCAAACATGCAAACATGTTTCCTGCCCACAAGTTAGCTAACGGTTGTTACCCATTTGTGAAGAAAAACAATACGCAAAACCAACTTATAGGCTCTTGTCATTTCTCAAGCAAACAAAGGGCCTTTAGCAAATTTCTTGACCAGACCCGAAAAATTATCCACTTAAGCAAGAAAGTTAAACTATGTATGAAGTTAAACCCACTATTGAGAAAGTGCCAAAATGGGCTACTATTATCATCAAACCAAAATCATTATATTTTTGTATGGCGGTTAAAAATAAATACCAACATCTCCAATCACCTTTCTGGGTTTTCACTTGCCTCATTTTTTAAAGTTCCTCCACTCAAATCTAAACTTTCATACAATTATAAGAACATAAAATGAAGTGACTAAACCTAATACTGGAGAGAGAGAGAGAGAGAGACGGTGAGATGAATGGAAAGTCGGCCCCCCCCCGAAACCTCCCCATGAGCATTTCCTTTTTCCTTTTTATCTTTTTGGCTTGAATCCTTCAAATGAAAGCATTTTTGGGGATTACACTTTTCCCTTGAGTGTTCTCTCTCTTGGATATCTTGACACGTTCCTACAAGAAAGAGTGCGGCCCAGTTCCTTCCATGTATAAAACCCTCCTCACCCTACCCTTCCCACATTCAAATCGTCCCAACAAAAACAAGAACCCCAAACACACTGCAGCAGACACAGCCAAAGCAAAAAAGAAAAGAAAAAAAAAGAAAAGCAGAGGTCCTAATTTTTCTCACTTTCTCATTACATTCTCTATCCAAACTTAATCAGGTTTGCAAGATATCATGTGCAACCCAAAGCCCTCTTCTCCTTCCTCATTTCTCCCTTCCAACAAAACCCATTTCATCATGAACTCCAACAAGACCATGGACCTCCACGCTGCAGCTGATGATGATGATCAAGAGCTTCATAGATGGCCTACTCTTTCTGAGGTACATAAAAACAAAAATCCAACAATCATTTTCATGATACAGAACAAATCATTTTTAAAACAGTAACAATCATTTAATAATAGAGCTCATGTTTTAAATTTAACATCATCTTTGCTTTCTTTTTTGCTTCATTTTTTTAGGCTTTACAAGAAATCAAGGCCATAGGGAAGATCTCTGGTCCAACCACCATCACAGGTCTGCTTTTGTACTCAAGAGCCATGATCTCCATGCTTTTCCTTGGCTATCTTGGTGAGCTTGAGCTTGCTGGTGGCTCTCTCTCAATTGGGTTTGCCAACATCACTGGTTACTCTGTCATCTCAGGCCTTGCCATGGGAATGGAACCCATCTGTGGACAAGCTTATGGAGCCAAGCAAATGAAGCTTCTTGGCCTAACCCTTCAAAGAACTGTCCTTCTCCTGCTCTCGACCTCCATTCCCATCTCCTTCATGTGGCTTA